GAAGGCTTGTAGTCTTTCTCTTTTTTTTTTTTTTTTTTTTTTTTCCCCCCGGAGCATGCGCAGATTCCCTTGGCCAGTTTCTTGAATAACAAGAGTGTTTTTCAGACAGTTTACTTTTTATCTTATCTAAGAGAACCAATAGAACTTCTACCATTCGTATATGGCTATCTTTACTCATTAGCAAAATTCCAACGAGTTAGAGCCACCTGTTACTCAAGGACAAAAGTATAATATTTTGGGGAACATTGTAATCCTTGGTAGATATTCACAGTGAACTGCTTTGTTTTGATGAACACAGTAGTCCTTGGTAAAATTCCACAGAACAGTTTGGGCAAGCAGGATTCTTAGCAATATTTAAAAAATACTATAACTTTCTATAAGTAAGTAAATAAGTTGCTAAGCAGTTTCATATAAGTAAATAAGTAAATAAATCTCAAAGCAAGTAATTATTTCTCTGTATCAAAGGCTTGCAGCATGTGGGGAGGTGAGTGCATTTCAACGGGGAGCAAATACTAATATTCTTACTGTGGAATTTCATGGAGTCAGAACAGGATTTTCTAAGCAGCTGATACAGTGCCATATTTTAATTTTTAGAGATGCCATAGTAGGCACAGTATGTGGGGAATGAATTGAGAACCATTAGGAAAACTGAAGCCTGTAAATATCTAGAGGGCACTGGTCACGTTTATTGGCTGTCATTTAGGGAAACAAAAGACAGATGCTATAGGACAAAGTTAAATGGCAAAATATTTTAATCAATACATTAAACACATAGGAGGAGTACACAAAGCCTTCAACAGACAAAAATGGCAACTTCCTTCCCTTATCCTTATCAATCCCATCTACAGTCTTCTGTCACAAACACATTTCATATGTATTTGGTGAATACAGACATCATGACATAATGTATTATTACAAATGTCAACTGTGCAAGTAACTGTTGTAGTTTATTTTTACTGTGTATAAATGTGTAATTACAGTTTGTCAAGTGTAAATAATTTGTCAAAAATTAAGATAAAAATAATCTAGGAATGGCATTAATAGACAAGGGTGTAGATCCATATATTCAGAAATGTGCATTGTTCTACTGGATGAAAATATCAGAACAGTTGGCATTCAGAGAATGATGAACTGCCCAATCCTTCCTAATTTCTTTTTTACCTATATGCCAGTGCAACTTCATGGTGTCAGATGATTTTAGTGACACTAGTAGAACTAGTGGTGATTTATTTGCAAATAAATACATAGGCAATCAGAATTTTTCAGCAATTTCAAATAATACTACTAATTTCCTTTGTAGGCATAAGTTACCGTTTGTCTGTATAATTTTATATAGATAATTAAGATATACTGTTCTGTTTGGGTGGGGTTTTTTTTTTTTTGATTGAATTTTTGTTGACAGGAAATGTTCATCAAGATTTGACTGTAATGACTGCAAAACCTAAAGTATGCGTCATGATTACTATAGCTCCCATTGAAAGTAATATAACTGGATTTTCAAATAGCCACCAGGGGAAGCCAGTATCATAAGTGATTGAAAAATTCTGCTAGTGCCAAGGACTAATACCCTAATGAAGCAACAGAAACAAGATACAAGTTGGGCAAAAGGACAAAGTTCTTTTCCATGCAGAGTTTTATATTTTTTTTTTATGCAGAAAAGCTTTTAATGAGTATATGTTTAGCTATTTTAGTAGGCAAATGTACAGAATCTAAGGCCAAATATTTTCTATATCAGACCAAAGAAAAACCTACGCATTCATTTTTTTGACCATTCCTTTCTCTCCAGTAGTCTTCAGGAAACAGAAAACAAACCTCCTTTGTTTTACATCCTCTTATCAAAGAAACTGTGCACAAAAAAGTCTGATCCTTCATTCAAAAGAGTGAAAGTACACAGAACAATTCCATAGAAGGGAAAGAACAAATGAAAATTGTGTGTCTTCAATTAGTGAAGAGAGGAATAACAGTCCATACCCCCTAATAAAGTTCTTCTTTCTTGTCAAGAATGAAGAAAATAAAGTTTTCTCACCATATAGTTTCTGCTCTGTAAGAATGGAGTACCTGTGAAAATGTACCTCAACACTTATGTCATACTTTAATTCTTTACTTTTTTTTCTTTACTTTTTTTTTCTTTCTTTATTTCTTTTTTTTTTTTTTTTTTTTTTCAAAAAATGGGGCTGGAAGCAAGAGGAGGTTGAAAAGCCATATCGTCATATCAAGCACTATTTGCTCCCAGGTCCTACTAAACTCATGTGATGCTGATAAACTGCACTGCTCTGAAGAGTGTCCGCAACCAGGAAGTCTTATAAGATCAAGGTGTGCTCTATTTAGGAAACTCAGTAACTCTAATGGGTCTGGGTATGTCTGCCTGGAATTGAAGTTGACTAGGATAACATGTATGAGGTAAGAAAAACAGTAATTAACACGTTAGTTCCTTAGGATATTAACACATCAATTCAGATTATGCGGGACCCACTCTGATGACTACCTTTTGTTTTCCTTTCCTATTCGTCTTCTTTCAACCACATATCCAGAAAATGGATATTGATTTTTGAAATACTGGTCTTTAAAACCAAACAATATTAAAAAATAATACCTGGTTAAAAGGTCTAAAGTAAAATTCTACTTTCTGATACCTCTTGGAGCAATAAAGTAGGATATTAAAATATTGACTAAAGCAAAACACCTTCAGAATTCAAATGCAGAAGATACAATGTATGTATATGGAGAGAATGAAGCTGTGCCCGGCATTAGAATCAGAATGTCAGTATCTTCTCCATAAAGTGAGGAAAGTAGCTGATGTGTATTGTTGCAATAGCGTTTGCTCAATTTAATAGTGACCTAAATACTAATTTGGAATTAGTTATCTATTAGACAGTGGACAGGAGAACTGCGTTCATTACGTCCTATGCACGCTTCCTGGACGTTATCAGCAAACCCCTTAATGTATCCTAAACACCAGTTTCACTTCTGTTCAAGGAACAAGTTACTGATGTTCACAGCTAATATAGTGATTGTAGATTATTTTTATTTCATTGATTTGTCTTTGTGCTTGAGAAGAATTTTTTTTTCCCCAGGAACAATATTTTATTTACACTGCATTGTGGTAATATAACAAACACTTCAGGTTATATAAAACTAATGCAAATGTATGAAGTTGCAACTTCTGCAGTCCAAACTTATTGAAAAATAGAATTTTCATTCTGCACTTAGCTACACACAAATTTGGGAAACATAGAAATAACATCCTTCCAGGATGAGCAATTTGCTCTTAATAGATTAATGATCTGCTGAATATCTTGCTAATATCTATGATTAGCAAACTAATATCAACCAAGAAAATAAATACTTAAAAATACATGCCATGTCAAATTAGGGCTCTTGATTGGGATTAGATGACTAATTAGAAAGGACAGTTTGACTAATTTGTCTGGTAGACCAAGACTTCTGGCATGAGAAATAATAAAGCCAAAATGCTGAGACAAACTAACTGTTAACAATTTGAGATGTTCATCCTCTATGGAGGATCATGACCTGGCGATTAGAGATGAAAAATGAAAAAAACAAAGCAACAATTTTAGAAGCTTGATGGAAGGAGAACAATCGTCCTTTTAACATAACTGGACACAATATTTATCATATTGAAACACTACTGGCAGAGTAACATGCTGGAAATGTCAGGTAACAATTCTGAAATGAAAGAGTACAATCTAGGACCTGACCTAAAATGTTCTTTTCATGTCTTTTCTTTGAACCAGCTGACCAGGTAGAAGAGACTGTGATCCTTTCTGCAGTACACCCAAAATATAATCACAGATATATAACCAAAGTTAATCAGCCATAAAACATACATCTGCAGGGAGCTGCTCACAGAGTTTTATACTGGTAAGAAAACAAACAAACAAAAAATTAATGTAGCTGTTCTGAAACTTTATTACCTCTTATTTTCATCTTTTAAAACCATGTTTCTAAAAGAAATTGTATGTTCAAGTATATTTTGTTTGAAGACTTCATTTTATCTTAAGATACAACCTATTAAACTAATGGTTTTTATGTGTTCTGTACCTTATCAGATTGTGGTAATGGCCACATTACATTCTGCCTCTTAAAAATGCTTCAGAGTTGACAGCTGCTTAAGAGAATAAACTGGAATCTTTGGGGTTTTGTGAATCACCAAATAATTGGTTATCCATTACAAACACGGGAGTTTTATTAGTACTCGTGATGTATGTATGTCCTGTGCAATTTGACTTTCACTTCTGAGTTGAGACTGAAGCAAGACAGTAGAATTCACAATGCTGTTGTTTGCAGTGCTACTTTTCAGAGTAGAGCAGCATCTTAAAGGATCCACTTCCCAACAAGACAAAGGAAGGAGCAGCCCTGTAACTGTCACTCTTGATTTCCCTTTCAGATGCATCTGTGCTTGGAATTGTCAACTAACGATGGAATAATTTTACTGTGAAGTCACCCCATTGCAGTATTTCTTCTTAATGCATTATACAAAGGTCTCCACAGATGTGTCCAAAACATCTTGATATTGAGACTGAAAAAATTATTTTCCATAGTATTTTGTCTGCCTGCAGCAACTCTACTGAATGCAAAACCAGGAAAGACATTTTTATGAATGAGTCGGGAATGCCTGACACTGTTCACAGGTGCAATTCAGTCTTCTCTTTATGAGGGGAGAGGCCAGGAGGTGTGCAGGGAAGCCCTTCTCTCTGAGTTTTATGTTTCTTGGAGCTCATGTGTCAATGTCAGAATTTCTGCTGATACAAGAAACAGCCAGAGAGCAAGTAGCAAGAGGAAACTATGTACCTGATGTGGGAGAATACAGTGTTTTGTTCAGGGGCAAAGC